CCGAAACCCCCCACAGCCCTAAAGCCGTAAACCCTATAAGCCCTAATTAAACACCTAACCCCGAAACCCCCTACAGCCCTAAAGCCCTAAACCCTATAAACCCAAACCCTAAACGCCTGAAGCCCTACTAAAGCCCTAAACCCTAAACCCCCAACTCTTCAAGGTTCCCGTCGGAGGCGGCCTGGTGGAGTTCTAAGACGGCCTCCCAGGCGCTGACCTGCGCCAAAGGCGCCAAAACCGCTGCAGCGGAGATCTCCGTCGCGGCCTGTTAAAGGAATCTTGCGGCTTTTGAGGGGAATTTAAAACTGCCTAGACCCGAATGGTAGGGTTTAGGGTTTGGGGTTTCGGGCTTCGGGTTTGGGGTTTGGGGTTTATAGATCCCAAACCCTGCATGGAGCCCAAGCCGGGCCACCCACCATGATGATATCCCATGCACTGCGCTTTTGGGAGGATGATCGTGTGCCTGCGGATGATGTCGCTGTCTTGGCTAATGTCGCTGAAGCTGAAGATGATGTGGATGGCCGAAGACTCGATCGAGGGGATACTGTAGGGGCCGAAATAATTACCAATACTATTCTGGGGGTTCCTAACCCGAAACCCGAAACCCCAAACCCTAAACCCTAAACCCTAAACCGTGAAAGCTTACAGGTGCTCAGGGTTCGGGCCCCTCTTTGGGCTCGGAGGTTTGAGGTACCGAAAGAACCCAATACCCCCTTAAGTAAGGCATATACCTTAAATCATAATAACAAGGCCCTATAATTTAAGGTATATTCCTTAATTAAGGTGTATTACTATGATTTAAGGTATATTCCTTAATTAAGGTGTATTGGGTTCTCTGGGTACCGAACATGCAACAAGGCTAATGTAGACACGGTCGAGTCTAAGGTTCGGGGTTGAGGGCTCTAGCGGTTTAGGGCTTAGCGGTTTAGGGCTTTAGCGGTTTAGGGCTTAGGGGTTTAGGGTTTAGGGGTTTAGGGCTTTAGGGGTTTAGGGGTTGGGGGTTTAGGGCTTTAGGGGTTTAGGGTTTAGGGTTTTAGCGGTTAGGGGTTTAGGGTTTAGGGTTTGGGGTTCAACTTCATAGAATACTGCGAGGGTCTTGACGTTTGCGTTGGGCTGCGTATGAGTGCCCCAGAGAACCCAATACCCCTTCATTAAGGAAGATACCTTAAATCATAATAAGAAGGCCCCTAGAAATTTGCTGGAATATTCCTTAATTTAAGGAGTGTTGGGCCCTAAAACCCTAAACCCTAAACATAAATTTACTGGTATATTCCTTAGTTAAGGAGTATTGGGCTCTCTGGGGCTGCGAGGAACACCACGGCCTGAGTGACGAAAAGCAAAGCCCCAAAGCGACAAGCTGCAAAGTCCGAGGAAACCATTTTAGGGGTCTAGGGTTTTTAGGGTTTAGGCTTTAGGGTTTTGGGGTTTAGGGTTTAGGTTTTAGGGTTTAGGGTTTCAGGTTTAGGGAGTAGGGTTTAGGGTTTAGGGATGACAAAGCCATTTTCGTGGATCCTTGCAGTGGGCTGTCCAGCCAGGATGATTACCTTCAAGAAGCCACTCTTATGGAAAAGCTGCACGCTGAACCTGAATCTGAAACGGTTAATCCTGTTCCCTCAACCCTAATCCGCACAATAGTATAACTTTAATGAGGATGCTTCAGGAATAGTGTTGCTGATGATTCCGACCCCTGCATCACCCATAGGCTCCATGGTAGTTCCTTTCATATTTAGGATCCTATACGGTAACCCGAAAAAGGAACCACAATGGAGCCTCTGGGTACACACAGGTGCGACGTTTAAGGAAGTTCTACGGCTTCAGAGATGGTGGTAGGAGCTGAGCACCGTACCACACCGCTCCGGCGCATTTCGCTGAAGAGCATCAGGACAGCCCGCCTCGAGCTGTCCTATAATAGGGGGTAGTTCTCTAAGTTAGGGTCCCTTTTTGGGTCCCCAATATAGTACGGCACCCTTATAAAAAGGACCCTAATAGGGACCCAAATTTGGAGAACTACCCATATCGGCTTCGGGCTGAGGGTTCCAAACTTCCCGAAATCGGTGACTTTTGACCCCCCAACACCTTTCTTTGCATCCTGGGAACTTCCGTGAGCCATGCTACGGATTCGAAGTACCTAAACCCCCCAAAAGTAGGAAAAAATAATGGCCCCAAGACCTATAAATGGCTATTATTTTGCAAAACTTTTGGGGTCCAGGTAACCCTAAACCCTAAACCCTTCCGAGGGCTTATGAGGGCTATAGGGCTCAGGGCTTCGGGACTCACTTTGAGGGTCCAGGTAAGTCCCTTTGCCTAAGGAATGTTGGAGTCTCTACAGCCCGACCTCTCTCGACTTTTGAACTTTCGACTGGATCGAGAGATGCAGTGCTCAGCACCTCTACCTGTGAGGTGTAGCAGGTTTAGGGTTTAGGGGTTTAGGGTTTAGAGGTTTAGCAGAGGGTAAACGAAGATCAAATCACACATTCCTACGTGGCCATGTCGGCTATGTTCTCTGTGGCCAAGAATCCGGACGTTGAACAGTCCAGAAAGCTCGGGGAAGGGTTTAGGACTCAGGTTGAGGGCTTAGAGTTTGGGGCTCAGGGAGTCCTCGGGTTTCGAGTTCAGACCTTGCAAACTTAGCCCTACATGCCGAAGACCAACCTCTCGTGATGGTTGCGTGTCAACGCAGCCCTTGAACGCCGGGGACAGGACTGAAATTTCGGCCACCCTAAACCCTAAACTCAAAGCCTTGAAGCCGTAAAGCCTTAAAGGCACCTGGTGCCTGGAGAAGTGTTGAAGGACGGAAGAGCAGACGGAATCCTTTTGGCACCGGTCGCAGCTCACTTTCTCCGAACCTCTCTCTTACTTGACGGACAGGCTGAACTGCATCTTCTTTTCGCCTTGAACGAGAGGGTGATTCGTCTGCGTGTCCAGCACCTTCCATGTTTTGCCATCGCTGCTGGTTTCGAAGGTCCAGTCGACAAGGTTCCAGGAAGTGCCACCCCAGTAGTGCGACCTAGAAGCCCCTTTGACCCAAAAGAAACATCATGTTATGCTGGGTATGGGGTTTAGGGTTTTAGGGGTCACCGTGGGTTCATATGCTACCAAATGCAAAAGTGATTCCCAAAGCAAGCCCAGTGACAAGGAGTATGAACTCAATGAGACGGATTTATCAAACTTGTACTGCAGCCATCCTGTGGGATTGTTTGACTTGGAGCAGTAGGTGTTTCTTTCCTTGTTGAAGCCATGGGCGATAGACCAACCACCACCCCACTCATTTGGGGCGCTGCCACCGTCAACCGGCGTGGCAAGTTCAGTGCCAGTCAGGTCAGTGAAGTACCTGGGTTAGGGTTTAGGGCTTAGGGTTTGGGGATTTAGGGCTTCGGGTCTAGGGTTTTGGGGTTTAGGGTCTAGGATGATGGTGATGATGATGACGACGACGAGGAGGAAGACAATGGTGATGGTGACGCTGATGGTGAAGATGGTGGTAAGTGGCAGAGGGGGGGGGGGGCAGCGAATGAGGGGCAGCGAATGATGCCGTGCTGCAGAAGTCAGTACCCGCAGCGTTGCATCACTGTCTAGGTCCATGTGACAAAACCTTTTAGTAGACGCAAAGAGTTTGACTGTCGGGTACAGGCCTAGTAATTTAAACCATTGTTTCTGTCATAAGTGGCTATCATGATGTTCCTTGGTACTTACACAGCTGGCCTCCCAAAAAAGAATGCTCAGAAAGCACTTCGTAACATCTTCACGCAAAAAGCGGTCGCGCCCCCGTTCTTCTTCACATTCAAGCGATAGTAACTGTGAGCATCCGCTTGTTCGACTGCCTCACCTGACAGTTTCGAATCTGAGCTTCGGGTTTGGGGGGTATAGTGCTTAAGGAGCTTAATTTAGGGTTTCGGGTCTAAGCTTTATGGTTTAGACGTTTAGGGGGTTTAGGGTTTAGGAGTTTGGGGTTTAGCTTCGGGTTTAGGAGTTTCGGGATATCCGAAAAAAGGATGCTGCAGTCTCTGGGACGAAGTACAAGAAATAGGGCTCCTCACCAGTTTCGGCTTCGGGGTGCTGCACTTAACAACCAGAGATAGGGTCTTGGGCTCCTTATAAGATATAGTACAAGTAGTATAATAAGGAGCCCTGAAGAACTAGAGTGGTAATTGTGTCGGCTTCTATACTACTAGAGGGGTCCGAAAGAAGTACCGATCGGGTTCCTTGTGATACTTAAAGTATGCTATACCCCAACGCCCTATAGAATTCATGCTGCCTGCCGAGAGAGTCGCATCTAGGACCCTTTGAGAGGCATAATGCGCCACTCATGCCACATTGCGCAAAGAAGCCCTTCTCCGGTGTTCGGGCGTAGGAATTTGCGCAGACTGTGGGATCTGTAATCTTGTCGCACTCATACTCGGGCACGGGCCTTCAGGCTTGCAGTTGCAGCGGCTCAACATAGAGCAGGCTAGGGTTTAGGGTTTAGGGGTTAGGGGTTAGGGGTTTAGGGGCTTAGGGGTTTGTGGTTTAGGGTTTAGGGTTTTGTTACTTCGAGGGTGTCTGGTTCAATTAAGTTATTCTGGTCTTCTGGGCTCTGTTACTTCCCATCCCCTGCTCTGCCTCTGTGTAGGCTAGCCCCTAACACAAACAGTACACCGTATCGGCAAATTCTGCTTACTACATACTGGAACTGCTCCTTGAGATGCCTCTGGGGTTTAGGGCTTAGGGTCTCCGGTGCAAAGTACCAAAGGCCTACCACTGAGAGGCCAAGTGGCTTTCCTGTACACGCAGGGGCTGTTGGCAAGCTGAACTTCATTTTCTTCTCCCCTTCCACCAGAGGTTGTCCTTTCTTCGTGTGCAAGATCGTCCACGTGTTGCCATCGTTGCTCCCCTCAAAGGTCCAATCCACAACGTTCCAGGTAGTGCCACCCCAGTAGTGCGACCTAGGAGTCCCTTCGACCCAAAAGAAAGATCATGTTGGGTATGGGTTTAGGGTTTAGGGTTTAGGGTTTAGGGTTTAGGGTATGGGGTTTAGGGTTTTAGGGGTGAACGTGGGTTCATATTCGATCACATGCAACATGAATGCCAAGGAAAGCCCAGTGACAGGGCATATGCACCCAAGGACTTCTTCTCACCAAAGTGGTACTGCAACCATCCCGTGGGATGGCCGTTCTTGGAGCAGTAGGTATTTCTCTCCTGGGGATTGAAATAGACTTCAATTTCAATGGTTCCTGTAAGGAATCAGTCCTCAAAAAAGCATTAAAGTTGGTACCCCTCTAAACCCTAAACCCTCATCCCGAAAACCTAAAGAACCCAGTGTCCCGGTTGAAGCCATGAGCGATGGACCAACCACCACTCCACTGATTCGGGGCGCTGCCGCCCGCAACGGGTGTAGTGATCTCGGCATCTTTTGTGTCCTTAAGGGTCGTTGTATCCTGGCCCCAAAAAGGTGAACCTCTTAAACTCTGCCCCGGCCGAAACGGTCAGAGGTTCCTCTTCTGATTCCCTCTATTCCCCACCCCTTAATCCCCTCCCCAGTGACCCATAATCTTCAAAGACACCCTCGTATGTCCACTTTAATTGCTTTTTGGCCTCGTCTCTTTCCTCCGCCGTCCAGGTTTTTCCTCGCCCCCTTCTCTTTTGTTTTTTGTCTCTCATCCCATCCCTTCAGTCTTTCCGTACGACGGTGAGCTGCAGTAAATTGGCACCAGCAGTTCGTTGGCCCTCTTTGTTTGCGGCCGGGCAGAGGCGGACGACGCGAAGCGTTTAAGTTATGGTAGGATAAAAAAAGTTTGGGGTTTATGGTTTAGGGTGTAGGGTATATAAGCACCAGCAGGTTAAAACCTACTCAGCTACTAAGTGGCATAAAAGTACATCTTGACGCAGAAGGCTCCAGCCCCTCCATTCTTCGCGACGTAGAGGCGATAGTGGGAATACCGTGTAGGCTGACTCACCTGCGCCCCTTCAACCCTCAACCCAAAACCCTACGTAGTTGAATCCATGCACTCCTCTATAAGTCTTAAGGTGTTGAGGATATGTGGCTCTGCAAGGGCTCTGCAGGGGTTACATACATGCGCTTGCTGCCGGGTCTACCAAAGGTTTCGGGTGTAGCTGCTATGTAAAGTTCAGGGGTCTTTCAGAATTTCAAGATCTTGGTTCAGAGGCTTCGGGTTCTGTAGCACAAACTTTGGCAGCAGGGGCCCTCAGCCCCCTTCGTAGAGAAGGAAAGAGCTTCGATACTCAGATCGGGAAGGTCCTATAACGGTTTCGGGGTTTAGGGTTCAGGGGTTTAGGGTTTAGGGGCCGTAGTACTCAGAACAGGGTTCCTCTAAGGGCGCTTTAAAGGGTGCTTATAAGGGATCCATAATTGGGTTCCATGGTATAGGGGCCTTAGTAAGCAGAAGAGGGTTTTGGGGTATATTATACTGTAAGTACAATGGGAGCCCCAAAAATAGCATTGGTAAATATCTAGGCCTCTCTACGTTCTGTCCTATCACCGATATAAGGGTTCAGGGTTGAGAGTTTAGGGTTTAGGGCTAGGTAGAAAGCCCCTATAGGCGCAAACTCCCATGTCATGTAGGCAGTATTCAAAAAAGGCCCTAAACCCTAAACCCTAAACATGAAGATGAAGATCTTAGCTTCGGGCCGCAAGGCCCCGAAGAGAACTATAATGGTGAGATCGATCCTGCAGCCTCCAAAACCTGACAACTAGTAGGGTTTAGGGTTTAAGGTTTAAGGTTTAGGGTTTAGGGTTTAGGGTTTAAGGTTTAGGGTTTAGGGTTTAAGGTTTAGGGTTTAGGGTAACTAATCTAACTAGTCCCATCACTGTGAAGTATATATGTATCCCGTGAAACAATAGGCTACTGGCTCCACAACTAAACCCTAAACCCTAAACCGTGAACCCTAAACCCTGAACCCTAAAACCCTAAACCCCTAAAGCCCTAAAGCCCTAAACCCTAACTTCTGTTCATGTTCATATTGGGCCGAGCTCTGAACCCACCTCTCACCTTGCTGGAGTTCAGGTCGACTTTGATCGCCCGCGCCACATTTAGGAGCGAGGTTAGCGCAAGCAACCTGAGTGGTGGGAGGTTTTCGGGATTCAATCAAAGGGTTTAGGGTTTAGGGCTCGGGTGCACAGGCGCGGGTGAGGGATTATTATGGGGCTCTGGACCACACCTAACTCCTACACCCTGAGAAAAGCCCATACCCTGACACCTGAACCCCGATGAGCCACGAAGCCTAAACCCTAAACCCTAAACCCCTAAACCCCTAAACCCCAAACCCAAAACCCCTAAACCCCTAAACCCAACATCCCTAAACCCTAAGCCCGAACATTCCGACATCCCTGATCTGAAACCCACATGCAACAACAAACAATATGAACCCACAAATTTAGGGTGTAGGGTTAAGGGTTTAGGGGTTTAGGGTTTAGGGTTTGGGAAGTTTAGGGTTTAGGGGTTTAGGGTTTAGAGTTTAGGAGTTTAACGTTTAGGGCTTAGGGGTTTAGGGTTTAGCATAAACAATGCCGAAAAAGACGCCTTCAATAGATCCTTGGACTGAAGAAGATCCTCAATGAAACCGGCAAAAAACACCAAACAAAACCAAAAGCCTGAATAACAACGGTCCATCCGATAAATTCGAAGCTCAAACAATGGACTTTAGACTCGATAGTGCTCATAGATCTACGATCCCCTTAAAAAGCCCTAAAACCCGGCCCTATTTTTAGAGAACTGCCCATTTATCCACGCTATCATGTGCAACGAAACAGTTAGTGCGTGTTCAGGCACCGGCTCTTAAGCCCAAGAACCGCTATGGCATCCTTGCATAACACAACCTTGCTATGTGTGTAATATAGACATAGTTAAGTAGATAGATAGATAGATAGATAGATAGATAGATAGACAAACAGATAGATAGATAGATAGATGGATAGATAGATAGCTAGGTAGCTAGGTAGACAGGTAGATTGGTAGATAGGTAAATATACAGGTAGATAGATGGATGGGTAGATAGATAGATAAACAGATAGATCGATATAGCCCAGTAAGCCCCCTAGAACAAAAACACCGAAGCCAGGACCCTTAGAACAACAAAAAACATCAAAGCCAGGAGCCAGAGCTTCATTGCCATGGCTGGGAAGGACTTCGCGAAGTTCGCTCCCTCCCGTTTTTTGCTCTCTGCTCGAAGTCTCGAGCCACAGAGCTGGCGGGTTAGGGTTTAGGGTTGAGGGCTTAGGATTTAGGGTTGAACTTTTAGGGGTTAGGATTTACGGTATAGCATTCAGGGTTTAAGGTTTAGGGTTGAGGGTTTAGGATTTAGGGTTGAAGGTTGGGGGCTTAGGATTTAGGGTTGTAGGGTTTAGGGTTTAGTGTCTAGGGGTTTGGGGCTCAGGATTTAGGGCTGAGGGTTTAGGATTTAGGGTTTAGTGTCTAGCGGTTTAGGGGTTTAGGGTTTGGGGGCTAGGGGTTTCGGAATTCGGGGCGCTTTGGGCTTTGAAGACTTTAGGGGCGTAGGATGCAGGGAAGCTTCAGTAATGGCGTAGGGCAGTGTAGGGTTTCAGGATTCGGGGTTTAGCAATGGGGCTGTTTGGAGCATGTTGTTATCACGGTTTAGGGTTGAGGGTTACCTGTTGAGGCCTTGGCTATAGTGGGCTGTCAGGGATCCTTAGGGGGTCCCGGGTTGAGGGCTCAGGGTTTAGATTCACAGCCTTGTCTAGGGCAGGGGGGGGCGACCGGCAAATGCATTGACAAAGCTTTGTGCTGGCTGTTATGGGCAACCACACAAGAAGAATGAGCGACAGCAACATAAGTGATAGAAGTACTCGTATTATGTAATTATTTATGAACGAAAACATTGGAAATATTTTCAACTAGCAAGAATAGTCCTAATTATACCCTAAACCCTAAACCCTTAAGTTTAGTCTTAACACAAACTTGGTCATGTGGGGCACAAGGCCAAAGCCGGTAGCCGGAAGCCTTTCCGAAACCAGAGCTCCGAAAAGCTTAATCAGAACAGTTTAGGGTTTAGGCTTAAGGTTTAGGGCCTAAGGGGCGTAGCGGCGTAGCAGTTTCTGCACTTAGGTTGTCTTGCTGGTGCTCAAGGGGGAGTGGAGGGGGAAGGGAATATGTGTATGCATATATATATATACACACACACATAGGGACGAGAAGGGATCCTCCTTGCACAACTATTAACTATGGGGATTCACTCTCCCACTACCCCGCCTAAACCCTGAAACCGTAAACCCTTAAGCATTTGCAAGGCTTAGAGGCATAAACAGCGTGCCTAAACCCTCAAACTTAAGCATTAAGCAAGGCGTAGAAGCCTAAGCAGCGTCTCTGAGAATGGCACCACTTCCCCGCAGCACCACAGGCGCTCATGGCAGCATTGTAGCTGATCGTCGTCTTCCTCAGATGTGGGGTTTAGGGTTTTGGGTTTAGGGGTGTAGCGGCTTAGGCTGCACATTAGGCGCCTGAATAGTTATAGTGGGGTTGGGGGGGAGGGGGCTCCGCAACCACATGTGCAGATTGCAGGCTGTCTCAGGTTTTGTTGTCCAGCATCCGCAGCCAAACGGACCGTCCTTTGGATTAGTTGCATGCTGTTCGTGGGATGCCTACTAATCGAACTTGAAGGGGCTGCAACAAGTAGAACACGAGCGCCCGGAAACAAACATGTAGGCTAATTACGAAGCGTCGTCATGTTAATGTTGTCTTTGCTCAGAATTATCGCCGTTTGCTGATCGAGTTCATGTCATTTTCAAAAAGACTGTTGCTCCTATTTCTGTCGGGACCCAAACCTTGACGCCGAGCGTCTTCTGAGATGCCGCGTCCATCATCTGCAGCAGCGACAGGGCTTCCTCGCTGTGCACGGCTGTCAGAGTCTAGGGTTTGGCGTTTAGGATTTCGGGTTTAGGGTTTAGGGCAGTTTAGGGTTTAGGGTTTGGCGTTTAGAGTTCAGGGTTTAGGGTTTAGGGTTTGGCGTTTAGGGTTTAAGGTTTAGGGTTGGGGGTTTAGGATTTAGGGTTTAAAGACCTTGGCTAGACCAGGAATGCACATGGCGCTCAGCAAGCGATTACCAGGCTTGACGAGGTTTTTTCGAAGGAGGCGAAGTAGCTGCACTAACCTTGGGCTACGATTGGCCATATTACGAAGTGCTGACCTCTTATGGGTGTACCTGCTTACATAAGCACTTCGATTGTGACTAGCCCACCTCGCTTTATTTATGTAAACATGTACGTGTGTGTGTGTGTATGTGTGCATAAATGTATGTGTATATATATGTATATATACATATTAAATGATGCAATCAACGCTCTCCCCGTCTCTCTGTGAAAGGAGCTTGGGCAAAACATGCTATGCCGGAATAGATTCGTACAGCACCATTCTGACGTAGACCCTGAGCCCGAAACCTAAAACCTAAACTCCATACCGAAACTCTCATTCATACCGTAGCCACAGCCTACACCTCTCATGGAAGCTGTGGCTTCCAGGCAGGCCTTCCACTTGCCAGCCTCCTCACAAGCACTGATGCAAGCGTTGAAGGTCACGGTGTTCCTTAAGCGGGCTGGGGCTTAGGGCTTTAGGGCTTTGGGGCTAAGGGTTTAGGGCCTAGTTTAGGGTTTAGGGTTTGGGGCTTAGGGCTTTAGGGCTTGAGGTTTCGGGTCTAGGGTGTCATACTCCAGATTGAGTTCCCTAAACCGCTGCATTTGACAAACCCAGGTCAGGTTCAGGCGTTCAGGTTGAGGAGCCTGCGGTTTAGGGTTTATAGGGTTTAGGGTTTAGGGTTTAGGGTTTAGTGAAGTTCACAGAGCGTCCCTCATAGGGTCTTTGCAGTATGTGATCGAGTCGTATAGTACAGATATGATGGGGAACCCTCAGAAATGTAATACCTAAACCCTAAAACCAGAGCCTCTAAGCCCTAGACCTTAAACCCTAAACCCTAAACCCCTAAAGCCCCAAACCCAAAGCCCTAAACCCCTAATACCCTAAACCCCAAACCCTAGGCCCTCATGCCCTAAACCCTAAACCCAAAGCCCCGAAGCCCTGTATTGAGGAACCCTCGAAGAACCGCCGATCGGCGGCCCACGACCTGCAACCCCCTGCAGCCCTCAACGGAGCTCTTGTTGAGGAGTTTTATTTTGTGTTACCATAATCGGGATCTATAGTAAATAATATGGGCCTATGGGATCTTATACTAAGTTAATAGGGATCTATAGTAAATAACAGGGTACGGCACGAAATCCTACATACAGCGCTTAGGGCTCAGGGTTTAGAGTCTTGGGTTTAGGGTTCGGGGGATAGAACTTTAGGGTTTAGGACTCGAGGGTTTAAATTTTTCGGGGTTTAGGGTTTAGAACTTTAGGGTTTAGAGTCTAGGGTTTGGGGTTTGGGAGATAGGGCTTATGGTTTAGGTCGTTGAGCAATAGTAATAGGACTCTGAAGCCCGGAAACACCGCGACATATAAGCCTGAATTACGGAACCACAAGCGTAAATATTCTCAGTTAATGAATCATTCTGAAAGATGACCAAAAATCCAATGTGTTTCCCCTTGGTTCCTCAACTTCATAATCGAACAGTATACTCCCAAACCTTATTCTAATAACAGAAGGCCGCTGCATCACCCCTGAATCCTCACTGCCCGCCGGAAACACTGCAGCGAAACCCAAGGCTGGCTCTGCGGAAGGCTGGTGGGGTCTGGGTTTCAGGGTTCTTCGAGGGCTCCTTCATGGGATCTATACGGGTTTAGGCTTCTTGGGTGTGGGTCCAGGTTTCTTATAGTCTCCATTGTAGTTCCTTCTAAGGTTACCTTATAGGATCCTATATGCAGATTTGGTTAAACCAGAAACAAGAACTACAGTGCAGACTATAGGCAGGAGTTAGTTCAAGCAGATTATTGGGGTTTCAAGATTTTGCACTTGAGGGTCGGAATTTTAGGCCTTAGTAGGGGGTGTACTCCCGAGACCCGAAGCACTAGACGCCCTAACCCCCAAGCGCGACAATGCAGACGTGACACCAGGCAGCAGCCCTAATCAGATCTTCCAAACCCCACGGCAAACTCAAACCCCCTAAACCATAAACCAAACCCTAAGCCCAATTCCCCTAAACCCCCAAAACCAAAAACCCCAAAGCAGCAGAACAAAAAGAAAACACACACCAAAAGCAGGCCGGAGTTCATGGCGATGCCCTCGGCGACCATGCGCTCCGAAATCGCCAGAGCCCGCGCCCACTGGTGCCAATGCCTGAGAAATTAGGGTAGAGGGCTTAGGGCTTAAGGGTTTGAGGGTTTAGGTTTAGGCTTTTTTGCTTTAAGGGCCTGAGGTTCAGGGTCTGCCTTTTGGTGACCAGGGCTCATCTTTTGAATGACTTCTTGTCACTGCTAAGTTCCCACTATAAGGGTTTACGGGCGATAAATTAACGTAGCATTTAAGCGTTTACGGTTCGGGGTTTTCCTTTGGTCAAGGTCCAACGTGGAAGGTTGTTGACTCCCCCACGGGCAGGACAACACAATACCAGTATTAATCCCTAATCCCTAAACCCTAAACATGAATATATGGACAATATCGGACCCGTTTGCCGACCCTAAGCAATGCTAAAGCAAAGCTTAGGAAAGTCTAGGGGCTTTAGGGTTTGGATTTGGGTTTGGGATTTTAGGATTTAGGGTCCAGGGTTCTTGGATGTTAGCTTGGATTTAAACACAAGGGTTTACAGGTTCTAAGGGCTCAGGGCGCAGGGCTTCGGGCGCAAGGAAAGACTCAGGATCCACAAGCTGCTGCCCTAAACCCCAAAACAGGGTTAGGAACCGGGCTTGTGAAAGCTACTGGACGGTAAGCCCCAAACCCAAGTGCATCCCCGAAATGGCAGGGGCGCCGTCCGTCCTGATTCGAACCTTCAAGCAGTAGACCTCCCGGCTGCTTTGCAACAAGGATCTTCGAGTCCAGATGCGCCGTGTATTCAAGTTAGGGGTTTAGGGTTTAAGGTTTAGGGTTGAGGGTTTAGGTTTTAAGGTTCAGGGTTTAGGGTTGAGGGTTTATAGCTTGGTACTAACCCTTAGGGGTTTGGGTTTTAGGGTTTGGGGTTCATGGTTGAGAGCTGAGGGTCTATAGCTTGGTAGGGCTATAATGAAGTCCTATAGAGATATCCTTGGCTGAAAGTGGCTGGCACGCGTTGATGGACGCGCTGCAGCAGACCGCGTCCTGGCAGCAAACAAAACCATCCTCCGGAGCTCGGGACATAAGTTCCGTTTTGGGGCTACCTATTCAGGATCCTTATTGTAAAATTGGTAAACCCCAAAAAGGAACTAGAATGGAGACTATGGGTACCCTAAACCC